CTGCTGAACTAGGCCTCTCTGGTATCCTGTAAACAGCCTGGGTCCCAGGTGCACAAGAGCAGATTTGAGAAACTATACACACAGGTGAGGCTACCAAACACCACCCACATATCCCTCACTACTGAGGAACGTGGGCTGCTGCAGCCTCCAGAAAGCAGCCTGGATCGGGATCCACGCTGGCCACAACACTGCGAGAACCACAGCGCAACCACTCGTCAGCAGAGGTGCTTCTGCCAACATGTTGTGCTGGCAGAGTGAGAAGCCCAGAGTGCATAAGAAGAAAAATAGAAATTTGCCACTGGTCACACTTGCCTTTTCTAACAGATTACATTTAATGAAAGGTTAACAAAAGGCAGTTTGCCACAGCTGCCTTACCAAATTCAAATATTATCTCAGTTCTAAAGCAAGTAAAATGCTATTTTGATGTTAAGTAGAAAAGATCTGATAAAAATCTCAAGTACACCATGTGACTTCATGATCCTCTAGCACAGAACAGCCAACCTCCTGATGTATAAAAAGCCACAAAGAGATAGCCAGAGACCCTAAAAGAACAAATTCTACCATCACAGCAAGAACTGGACTTTGGAAGAGTCCAGAATACAAAGATTCGTCCGAGGAAGGATGTAGCACAGGGAAGCTGAGAGGGAAGACAGCAGACTGATGGCCTCCCTGCTTCAGATGCTCCCATGTGGACTGAAGTTCTAGTTCTTAGTGGCAGTCTGGGATCACAGAAACTCCAATAGTTTCTGACCACAGTCTTTCAGGATTGATTCCACAGGTTATCAGCAACAGCAAAATGTCTGTCTGTAACATTGCTTGGGAAAATTTACGAGTAGGCACGTTACAATTTTATTTAACTCAGCAGACAATGGCTCACAGTCCAGCTTTCACCTAAACAAATATTTTAAAGACCCAAAACATCATAGATAATCCATGCTGACATTTTGAACCTATTCCAAAGCATACACACATAGAAAATATGCAGAAAGGACACACCTGAATACTGTGCTGTTTACAAAGCAGTTTCAGTTGAGGAGGACGTGCAAGCTCTAACCCACTCTAAAATGACTCTTCCACAGCCTGACTATGCAGCCACGTTCTCAAATGTTATCTGTGCTTTGGTATCTGAGAATCTGAGGTTAGAAGCAAGGATTCATTTCCAAAATACTGGTTAGCATTCCCATACTTACTTAGCCAAGATGCCCACGCTCAAGAACAACTTGATAACTTCAGTGATGCACACAGCTGTTGTTGAAAAGTAGAGTTCTGTCTCCACTGTCCTTGTGTACCGCAATGCAACCGTGTATGTTGCAGCAACCAGGGTCATCACTGTGAGGCAGTACAACTTGAACAGTAAGCTGACATTTTCTGAAAGAAAACAAAGGTGACGACTCAGCATGCCTTTCACTTTAATTTAAGAACTGAAACGGGGTGTTCTCCAGCTGGAGGACTGCACCAAATACTACTGTGGCAGTATACAATAATTACAATGTTGTGAAACACTTCCTGTAGAAAGTTTAAGTGACATTTTAAAGTCCTTTCTCAAAGCAGCTTGTATAGGAACTCCAGGTGTTTGAAAAGAAGATGTCCTCTTGCCCTCATAATCATCCTTCATTCTAGAAAAACTCATCATAGACTAATATTTATCTAATAGTAATCAGGAAGGTTTTTCTGTGCTTTCCTGCTCGTTAGCTGACACCAAGTGCTCACTCTGATAGGGCAGCTGATCCTTTCCACACAGTATACTTAAGTCCGACCAAAAGAGCGTTAGAAGATGAGTAAAAGAAGAGAGAGAGGAAAAGTTCAGTATCAGCAAAGAAGGGAATCAGTCTAGCAAGTCTTAATAAATAAGAATCATAGAATCATAGAATGTTTTGGGTTGGAAGGGACCCCTAGAGGTCATCTAGTCCAACCCCCCTGCAGGAGCAGGGACACCGCTAACTAGATCAGGCTGCTCAGAGCCCCGTCCAACCTGGTCTTGAATGTTTCCAGGGATGGGGCCTCCACCACCTCTCTGGGCAACCTGTTCCAGTGTTTCACCACCCTCATTGTAAAGAACTTCTTCCTTATATCTAGTCTAAACCTACCCTGGTTTAGTTTAAAACCATTACCCCTTGTC